ATTATTCATGTGAGTTTATATATTCTATTTTTATTTTATTTTTAAATGAAAGGAGCTTGTTTTGCAGTTTTGAACATATGATCTGTAACTGATTGCACTTAATAGAATCTCTTTGAATTTAATATTAACTTAAATGGTCTTATTATTTAACTAATTATAATACAAAATATTACGCATTTATTGTATCTAAATAATCTATAATGTTATTTACAAATATACTTTTTGCCAAATTTATTATATAATGAATGCATTGACAATCCAGTTATGTAAATGTGAGTAAACAGTAAATTGGTTGTTATCTACATGCTAATTGTTCTGATTTCTTGAGTACCGTTAAACGAAATCTTCGGAAGAATTGAATGTGTTTTGAACAGTTGCATTTTGAAGGATGTTGCGGACAGTTTACTTGACAATTTTCCTTCTTGGAAATTTCGTTAGCTGTCAATTGGATAACGATAATGTTATGGAAATTCAAAATTCAATGACTCGTGGGAGATGTAAGTAGAGAGGAATAAATGAAAGTATTTTCTTTATATTTAAGAATGATTCGAGTGAAGACTGAAAAAAATAGTAAAAACTAGGTAATTCATTTAATGAGATTATTATACACGAAGTGCTTAAGAACAATTTCAATACTTATTTTTATATAATATAAAGTAGACATGTGTATTGTTGAAAAATGATGTAAATTACTAAATTGAATTTTTAAACAGTTTTTCCGCTATTCAGTGTTATCCGTTTTGCAAATACACAATGCCTGGCTAGCAACAATTTAAATGGTACATGTTTTACTAGAAGAGAATGTCGTGATTATGGTGGAACACCATCTGGTAGTTGTGCAAATGGACATGGCATTTGTTGTGTTTGTAAGTAATTGTGAAATTCAAAGCAGTTATTTACATTTCTCTATTTTCTACAAATATTTTATTTCTTTTTTTAAACTTCAAATGTAAATTTATTACAATAAATGTTAATATAATAAACTTATTTAAAGCTTTTATAAATTTAATGTTTACAGTTCAAAAGACATGTGGTTCTACAACAAATGTAAATAATACATATTTTACAAACCCAGAATATCCGACTACTTATGAAGGACAAGGACGATGCACAATAACGGTGCAACGCTGTAATTCAAATATATGTCAGGTAAAATAATAAAATATGTTCATAAGTTCAAGTTTATATTACTACTTTCATAAGAAATGTTTTCAAGTTATGTCATTACACAAAATTTATTCTAGTTACGCTTAGATTTTTTGGAATTCAGTCTTGCTTCACCAAATGCCAGTGGAATTTGTGACTATGACGTTTTACTAGTTTCTGGATCTGGAACTTCAGTACCTCGAATTTGTGGAGAAAATGCAAACCAACATGGTAATAAATAAATAAAAACAGTGATTTGTGTAGTTAAATATAAATAAGTACTTATTTAAATATATACCATTTAAATTTTATGAAAATTATTATATTTCAAATATATAGGGTGATTTCAAGCATGTGGATATATCTGCTAGGATAAAAAGGAGGCATAAAAATAATGAAAACAGTTTATATAAACATTTATCCTTTTTGGTATTGTTCATGAATTATTTTATTTTTCAATAGTTCTGATTATAAACTGCCCTTATACTGTACTTTATAGTATTATTATATATTATAAGTTTTTTCATACAATAGTAAATAAGACAGATATTTAGGTGATCCTATTTTACTGAGACACTCTGTACATTTAGGTATAGATAAAAATCCGGTAGATTTAAATGTGTTGAGCAAGATGGACAGATGATAGATTTGCTACAACCAATTCACTTATAAACTATATGTGATGCACAATTTTGAGAAAGTCATCTTCGAATGATTCATTTATACTTATTTTTTAGACTGCTGACATAATATTCACTATAAGAGGTATGGAGTATAAAATGTATTGATAGTAACAAGATGCGCAAAATCGGATGTTCTAAGTTTGTAAGAAGAATTAATTAGATACAAAACTTTATAACACAAAAACAAGGCGAATGTTAGGATGAATGACGTAAATATTTATACGAACGCTTTTTTATTATTTTTATGTCCCAAGTCAGTCCTAAAGTTACACTCACATATCTTGAAACATCTTCATATGAATACATTTGCTTATTTTATGAAATTTAATGTATTAAACCTTTTTATTAACTTAAATTTTTCAGTATATATAAATTTTAATGGTGATACACCCATTACGATATCAGTAGATACTAATTCTCAATATACTACAGATCGTCGTTGGAATATAAGAATTCAACAATTACCCTGTGATGCTACATATAAAGGTATATACATTATAATGTTACACTTTACTATTTATTTTTTAGACAAAACATGCCTTATAGTTAGTTAATCAGCTTATGTATTTATTTATTTATTTCAGCGTTATTGCTAAGAAAATATAAATATCTTCCTCTGTTGCCCTTATATAAAACTAATTAATGACATTTAATATTAAATTGTGTTTCAATTTCGTTAAGTTTGATAGTACATTTTTTTTTACAGCACCAAATGGATGTTTACAGTACTATAATAGCATTTCCAATATTGTAACAAGTTTTAATTATGGTACAACACAGAATCCAAGAGGTACTATGATTAACGATAGCTATGACGAATGACATACTATATCTTCAATTAATTCTAAAATAATGGAAAGAACATTATAATCTGTCATTTTAAACATTATACCACCATTAAGGAACATTATTTTTAACATTTGTTATTAAGACAACTAAATATTTGTAATGCGATATTAAAAAGTATTTGTGACTTTGAAAACTACAAAATAAGTAATCTAGAAAGGAAAATATTCATTACACCGTGTTCATTCTTAAAGATCATTCAAATTACGTACGAAATACTTTTAGTATTGTCACAATTAAACGACACATTAGGTGATTTGGTTTTGGTGGGATATCCTGTAAAGGGACCAAATTTAAATTATACTTTATACTAAATTTCAATATAAAAAAATGTTTTTACTAATTTTTTTTAAATGTTAATTATCATTAAAAGTATACAGAGTTATAAAAATATTTATCATGTTTATCTGAAATATAAAAACTTAAAAAATTACATTTATCTAATATATTAGTAAATCATTTTTTCTAACACATTTATAAATGTTGTAGCACCAGAAATTGGTACACGACAAATTGCAAATACAAATTACGGTATATGTATTAGAATGGCACAAGGATATTGTTCTATTGAGTGGTCTCAAACAAGTATGAATTCATTTTCGGTTTCTGGAGATACAGGTTCTTTTGACCCTACCATAATAGGTAATTGTTAATCTCTTTATTTATTACTTAAATTAGCAAT